GGCAGCTGGGCATCGAAAGGGTGCTACAGTTGAACAGTTGTTCATTGCTGTTGACATCACCAAATCATTTTGACGACTGAAAAGTCGAGCCAAACCCTGTATGACCCGAAGAAATAGAGTTTAAATGTAAACCTGTTCACTTCAGACAGCTCGGGTATACACGATGGTCTCCTCCGAAAACACCGCAGTGGGGAATGTAGCTTGAAATTCCTCCTATAAAGGACACAACCTTATGAGTGTCATAACATTGCTTACAAGTAAGAATAACTACTAGAGATTGACAGTATTATGGAACTGCACTCCGAATGCGGCCAATATGACAGATGGGTTCAATTCTTTCACGATAGGCAACAAGCCTACCAGTGCGTGTATGATTACACAATTAAATGAACGTGTGAAAAAAAACGTGGGGTTGACGAAATTAATCCAGCATACCAGCAGATCTTTGTTCTCCTTGATTTTTTCTTCCACGAGGTCATCTGCCACACCATCAGCATCATCCTCGGTCGTCGAACCATCTGATTCCGAAAAGAAGTCATCATAGGAGACGAGGTTGCCCGGCTTGCCCCCTGATGCGCTTGTACGGATTGCGGAAGCTGGTGAATGCGATTCAGAATTTACTGTAGATGTTCCATCTGGAGTAGTCTTTACTACCCTGGACCACGGATCTGGTGGGATCGCTGGCCAATCGGGGAGGTCACGGTAATGCCACTGGTGACGATTGAGCAGATGAGATAAGGAACCGAGGCGGAAGTTCGATCGATCTGGTTCGCAGAAAAAGGAAAGATGCATGGAAAGACTGAATACACAGTTTATTGGCGAAGTACTCATCTACAAACTGAGTTGCTTTTACCTGGGGATTGAGCTAATCTTGTCTACGAGAGTCTTCAACTAGTCTGATGTTTCACCTGGTACGATATTCAAGACATCGAAGCCAAGGTCCTTGGATGAACGAGCAACTGTATTGTGATGTATCGAATAGCGTACCAAATGCAACATGAGG